GCAAAGTCATAAACAGATCTCCTCGCATGATCGGTTAGACGTGAACCGAGCCATTCGGCATGGTGGGCGTTAAAATCGCCAAGGATCACGATCTCTGCGGATGGGACCTGTTGTAGCAAGGAATCTGTAGCCATTTAGACGTGGTCGATGAGTCGGTCTGTTTCGGCATTACCGCTATGGGACCTATAGAGGCACCCGTAGACGCGCGGATGGTCGTCGCTGTCTACGCGTAGCCAAAGGATGGACAGGTCCGAAACTTCAAGACTGCCGAGGCGTCGAGAACAGATGTCCTCGCTGACATACACGCAAACTCCAGCCCGAGGCACAAAGGAATGCTCCAATTTGTACCCCGGGTAGGAGAGATACGAAATATCAGCCGGAGAGGAAACCTGCGTCTCGGTCAGAAAGAGCAAGGCCGGCTTCGCCGTCTCGAGATGGTAGTGGACGGCGTTTAGGTTAGAGTGAAGTCCCCTGATGTTGCAGAAATTCACGGATAGCGTGGCAGGGGTCGCCTTGGTGTGCTTGCTCAGTTTGCCCCTAGCAGTTATGCTTTTGAGCGGAATTTTGCCCCCCCCCCCAGAATACGCGGGGCAGCCTGAGCACCCACGCTCAGGATCGGAATAACATGGTCGTGGATGCTCAGCGAGGGATTCTCCCGGGGTACTGGTACCCTCCTGGGGTAGTTCATCGTGTAATTCCGCTACCATGTTGATGGGGGGGGGGGGGGGGGGGGGGAATTGGGCCTCCGGCCACCTGCACTCACCAGACGAAACGCAGAAGCAGAGCTTCTACTTCACGCCGGTATTCTGTGAGGTCGTGGTACCAACCCGGCTCGAGCCGGCCCGTACATGCAACAGCAAAAACTGCTGCGTGGTTCTATGGGCAGCTGTACACGTCATCGTTGGAGCCACACGCAAGTGTGAGTAACGATCGAAGAGCGAGTCTTATCCGACACTATTCCGAAGATATCCCGGACGTCAGTCTGAGCGAGATTAGAATGGCTCTCCAGCATCTTAAAAACGGCAAGACCCCAGGCGAGGATGGAATTACAGCGGAGTTTCTGAAAGCGGGTGGAAAACAGGTACTTGAAGTCCTTCAGAGGCTCTTTAATTCCGTCCTCCATCGTGGCATTACACCGGAGGCGTGGAGCAGTAGTGCGGTGGTCTTGTTCTTCAAGAAAGGTGACAACGCTCTCTTGAAGAACTACAGACCGATTTCCCTTCTGAGCCGCGTCTACGTGCTGTTTTCGAGAGTCATTACGAATCGTCTCGCGCGCAGACTTGACGACTTCCAGCCTCCCGAACAAGCCGGTTTCCGAAAGGGCTTTAGCACCATAGACCACATACATACCCTTCGGCAAGTTGTACAGAAGTCCGAGGAGTACAATTTGCTACTATTCCTGGCGTATGTGGACTATGAGAAAGCCCTTTGATTCCGTCGAAATTTGGGCGGTGCTGCAGTCCCTTCAGCGGTGCCAAGTGGACTGTCGGTATATCGAAGTGCTGAAGCGCTTGTACAGTAGGGCTACGATGGCTATCCCAGTACAGAACCAGAGTATGAGGATATCTATCAACTAACCATCTATCAAATATCTACCTATCCAATTGCAGAGAGGTGTAAGACAGGGTGACGTTATATCCCCGAAACTCTTCACCGCTGCATTGGAAGATGTTTTCAAGCTTCTGGACTGGAAAGGATACGGTATTAACATCAATGGCGAGTACATCACTCACTTTCGATTTGCCGACGATATAGTCCTTATGGCAGAATCGCTGTAGGATCTAAGCACCATGCTCAATGACCTCAATAGTGTCTCCTAACGGATAGGTCTTAAGATGAACATGGACAAAACAAAGATCATGTTTAATGTCCATGTCACACCTATGCCGGTAGTTGTTGGGAGCACTAAGCTCGAATTTGTTGACGAGTATGTTTACCTGGGACATATAGTCCGACTAGGTAAGTCCAACTTCGACCGAGAGGTCGATCGACGGATTCAACTGGGCTGGGCAGCGTTCGGGAAACTACGACACATCTTCTCGTCAGACATTCCTCAAAACCTTAAAACAAAATTGTACAACCAGTGCGTGTTGCCAGTGATGACTTATGGATCTGAGACGTGGTCCTTCACTGCTGGCCGTATGAGGAAGCTCAAGGTCGCTCAGCGAGCTATGGAGAGGGCTATGCTCGGAGTTTCTCTGCGTGATATACTTAGAAATGAGGATATCCGCAGTAGAACCAGAGTGACCGACATAGCCCAACGGATTAGTAAGCTGAAGTGGCAGTGGGCCGGCCATGTAGCTCGAAAAACCGACAACCGATGGGGAAGAAAGGTTCTTGAGTGGCAGCCTCGTACCGGTAGGCGAAGTGTAGGGCGACCCCCCACGAGATGGATTGACGACCTGGTGAGACATGCAGGAAGTCGATGGATGCAGGTAGCTCAGGACCGTGCTTTGTGGCATTCCTTGGGGGAGGCCTATGTTTAGCAGTGGACTTGTGAAAGGCTGTAATGATGATGATGAAAGCGGTTCAAATTGTAGGTACCGAAACACTAAGGTTTTAAGGTATCACGAGTTCTTATTTATTTGAATGAATACACAATCATCTTGAATATGCTTACATTACATGTAAACCCTATTCCTAATAAACAATCTCCACGAATCTATTCTGTACAGTAGCGGTTCACAAGACTTATTTTGTTTATTGCCCCCACTTTTTCACATAGATCACCATACAAATTAAGATTAAAATAATTTTCCATGTCTTAATAGCACGGAAATAACTCCCAAAACTCGATAAAAGTTGTTATTTGGATATTTCAGACAGACACTTAATTTTTTTTTTATAGAATTGGGTGACAAACGAGCACACAGTCCACCTGATGGTAAGTGGTTGCTGTGGCCCATATATATCTACATAGATGATGTAGTCCTCAATAAAGAATCAAAATGCAGATCTGTTGGCAACCGTCACGACTAAAATGGAATGCCTCTTTTCCAGTAAAAAGGGTCTCCGGTTCTCTACACTCACCATACGAAACACAGCTATGTAAAGCTGCTATTTTACGCTGCTATTCTGTGAGACCCATTCGTGCTACAACTATACTACTTAATATAGTTGCAGCATGGCTCTACCATGTATAAAATTTGTATTTATATGTATAGTTATTAAATATTCGGGAAGTCCGGTTAAGACGATCTCCCGCTCTATGGATTACCGAAGACCGTGGCTAAGCGTGATTGGGTTTTTAAAAAGTATAAAAAATTAAATTAATATTATATTCAAGAATCCATTATACGAGTATTAAAGTTGGTAAAAATGACCTTGCGTACATCTGCTCGATAAAATAAAATGATGTGCCTAGTTTGAAGAGCACCTCCAGCGCTCCGTCAATTCAAAATCACTATCCCCGTCACCACTAATCCTAGCACCACTACTTCCAACACCACTACTAGGAAAGACACACCATTGACGAAAATACGACACGTATTTCGCCTCTACACGAGGCATTTTCAGGTGATGTAGACTCTGCGGTGGCTGACCGCACGGTCATTAAACGGAAAATAATATTCACCAGAATATCAAACTTTTCTATGAAAGTCTCTTTGATATTTCTCAGGTCTGTCAGAATAGGTAAACCTTATAACGTTGATCTTATTATCATTTCTATCAATAACTTCAATATACTGTCCTTCAACTTTCACCTGATATCATTTCTTACATACTTTCCATGCCACATTCTCACCACTGCTCGTTTAACTTTTTTACAGTTACTGTTGAGGGTTTATGGTCAACTATTTCTTCCAACGAGAATAAAAAATTAACACTAATTCCAGTAATAATAATAAAAAAAATGAAAACTACGACAATAGGTTTCGATGATGTGAGTCGAATTATAATTACTCCTATTCTCTTTTTTTCGTTATGATATTCTTAGTATCATTCTCATCATTAATTTTTACCAATCACTGGGGTTTTTTCCTTTAATTTGGCGTAAAGATTTTTATTTTTATTTCATTTGGCGTAAGATTAGTTACTAATACTTTTTTTCGCTTTCGCCCAAATTCTCTTATTTTTATCTAAAGTTCTCGAAGCTCATGAACAAATTTATCTAAAATTCATGAACAAATGGCAACCCACATCCTCAAAAACTTCTTTTTAAAGTAAATAAAAATCGGGTTTAGACCTGAACAAACCACTGCTCTTTTGAAAGCAACGGCAGATATTTGTAGTGGATCTTATGAGTGTTTTACGTCTTGATTATATAAAATCAAAATTAGCACGGTTAAATCTTGATTTTACATGTAGAGCACACAGATACAAAAAAAAAACGTGGGTAAAAAATACAATCTGGTTATTTTATGCAAATTTTTATTTTATACCTTCAACCTTCCTCTGTCTTCATTAAATAATTTTAGCATACAATTCCATAACGAATCGGAAGTACTCGCAATTACCATGGCAATTAAAAAATTAACTTATAAAAATGAATATTTACAAATCATATCCAAATACAGAATATACAATTAAAATAGTGACTAATGTAGCAACAGAATAGAGTTAAAAAGTAAAAACTTTATTCAGTTTAAAATGCCAAATAAATTGAATTCAAATGCTAAAAACGTTCAGCTGAATACTTCATAGGTACATGCTTCATAATAATTTAAATGCAATTATAATATCGATAGATATTTTTGACGCTAGACGTACCTATTGAATGAGATATCGGAGGGGTAATTTACTGATGTCTTATGGAATATATATGTTATATTTTTGTTTATAGATACATATAATATGATAATTGTTCAATGTGTATGAACTACACGTATATGGCATTTCATGACTGTTAGCGGGTATAAGTAAAACTTAAATGTAACGCTTGCAGATCACAAAAAATCCTAAACTAAATAGTCCAGTTGGCAAAGACAAATGGCGGTTGGATCACTCGACACTTACTTGTAAGCAAGAGGGGGTCTTTAGTTAAAATAAATACCTAAAGTCTACTGGTGCTTCTTGCGCCTGTTCTTTGTTTTATCGGCGTTTCTCAGTACTTCGGCGTAGGAAAGCTCAAGTTTCCTCAATTTGTGAATCTCTTGTGACGCTGTGCTCTGTTTGATATCCCAGGAGTCGGTTTCCGAGTTCCATCCTTGGTAGATCTTGCCGGTCCGCCCGCTGGCACTAGGAGTTGGCGATTGCATGTTTCGGTTGTAGAACTGCATCGTGTTCCCATTCCATTCAGTTTCGTTTGCTCTCACAAGGGGACTGACTTCGATCGGCCTGTAGTCTCGCCTCTTTTTGTTTGATTGTTTCTGGTAGGTGATTTTTGGTGGTGAGGGGAACACTGGTGAATCTGCGCCCTGACGATCCTGACTTTGTTTGCGGTTGCGATGCCTTGATTTCTTTCTAGTAGCCGCGATGTATTCCAATGGTTGACGAACGAGGGGCGTTAAAACTCGCTCTTTTTCGTTGTTTTTGTCCTTTTCTTCCAATTTTCTCTCGTTTTCTACCACTTTATTTTTCTCCTTTGTTTTCTCAGCGGGCGCCACACCTGTAGGCTTATTTTCTGTTTTCTTTTCGATTTCCTGTTTCTTAACTGGCTCGGGAGCCGGTTGCACCATTTCCTTGAGAGTAGGTGTTTCTGGTGCGGTCATATCGGATACAGGTAGAGATTGCTCAGACATTGCAGAGGACAACACACTCTGTGTATCATCAGTGAAGTTGCCCGGGGATTCCTCCGTGGCCGGGGTAACCGGTGGTACTTTACCTGCAGAAGTATCATCAAGAAGCGGCAGCCTCTCTCCTTCGTCTTTGTTTTCTGCTGCCTTTTTAAGGATAGTGAAAATCTCTTTGAACAATTCGCGATATTCCGGCCTGTTTCGGAAGCGGCTGTCCATTGGGCTGACATCATCGTAAATGCTAAATCGGTAATCTTCACCGTCCGCAATTGTGCACAGGAAGGAGCCAGGCCTTTCGCGCTCTGTTTGTGTTGCTTTGTTGCTAGTTTCATCAGAGAATCCAGAACTGGATGTTTCCGCTTCCGAGAAGTCGGGCGTTTGTATAATCTTCTTGCGGGATGTAAGTTCGACTTTCTTAGGTTGGTTTTCTTTGTCTTTATGAGTCTCCTCACCGTGTCCACTCTCTTCGTCAGTATCTTTAACGCTGAACTGACTGTAGTCGCCTGATGTTTGCAGCTCGTCTTGTAGCGAGAGTGGGCCGGATTGGTTTTGTGCGGGCAACGAGTTCTCTTTGTTTTTCTTAATGTTCTTCACCTGCGACAACTGTACTTCTAAAAGAGCTTCGTACTTCTGCACCAGCTCTCTATATGGATTCTCTTGGCCGTCGTCCTTATTCGCCCATATACCTTGAAGTAACTTTTCTTTGGCGTTCTGTAAAAATAATATTTTTTATACTTTCTGTAAGTAAGCAGATGTTAAATTTTAATGTGAGATACGAGCACGCAAATTAATAGAAAAAGGAACTGTGACTATTAATAAAATTAATGACAGGCAACAAATGCTGGTTACTTTATTTTGAAGTTTACGATAGTTAAGTGTGATATGGAGATAAGATAATTTTAAATATAAATACTCTAATAAGTAGATGATCCATATTGAATAGACACGATGAGTTGTATACTTGAAATAAATGACACAAATCGAGCGTTAGTTGATTAAACTTCACAATTATTGCTTATTAGTCAAACATACAGCCATTACTTCACAAAACACAGCTTACATATAATAAGTACGTACATATAATATCAATTATTGATCAGTAAAGTCAGTTCATATCAGTTAGTATTTCTATCCACCGTGAAACAAAGAAAGTAGTGAATATGTTTATACGACATTCAATAACTGTCACACATTTGATGATTTGATGGCCATCACCGATGATTCCGGTTAGGAGGGTGCATTTCCCACGCTTAGTTGAGTAACGTGTCAGTAATGGACGTACCTTCGACTACATTCGATATATCCAAAGAAAACTACTGCAAATGCGCTTCATAATGCATATGCAAAGCGTGATCAACAACATCAGGGGCAGTTGGAAAAGCTTTGTCGCCTAGAACGATCGAAACATTCGTATGAGATCTCAAGCGACACAATTTGTGCTTTAGTTTGGAGGCTATTACAATTTGTAATTTTTCAAAATAATTTTTCAGATATATTAGAAATATTTTGTGTACTTTTGCGAAATGGAATGAAATTTCAAATGTTGGAATTAACCAAATGGATTAGCCAAATCGGACACCTACTGAATGTTTCATTTCTAGCTCCGAATACGTAATGTTAGTAATTGTTAATTATTTGTTTGCACATAATTGCGAAATTGTGAGTTAATATTGTTATTTTCTACAGACACAGAACTTATTAAGTAATCTACACAAAGAAGTAATGTTAATAGATACACCAAACTATTTCACAGAAAGAAAAGAAAGCTAAAAAGAAATAGATGTTAAGGATTGTATTGTTTGGAAATATTGTAAATGGCATGCATAGTTTTTGAGTGAATACATACATCAAATTTGACCAGTTTGCTTGTGACGTGATCTTGTCTGGGGCTGTCTTGGCCTGTGGGTGTGAGGATTAAGGAGCTGATTACGCTTCTGTCGTCGTCATCGCCGTCGAGTATGGACGACATATCGTCCCCTCCTTCGACGCCTCGCAGGCATCGGATGCAAAGTTGTCCTTGTCTGAAATTACAAAAACATGCCTTCAAGTTTTTATGTACGTTTATTTAATAAAAACAACGGAAGGTGTTCGTGGCTTTGGGCATTTTCTCCCTGTCAAAACAGGAAGTAGTGAAATATTCCATGCTCTGTATAGATCTATGTTTAGCTGACTTTAGCTTACTATTGTTGCAACACGTCGCACACCTTTGAAGTTGCTTCTGCAGTTGTTTTGAGAGTGTTTAGTGTTCATTGGCGTATTTTTTTTTAAAAACTTAAGTGACAAACGAACGGTGCACCTGATGATAAGTTGCTAATGCAGTCCATGGACACCTGTAGTAAAATTCAAACAAAGAAAGCCAGCTGGGAACAGGCTGTAGGGAATTCCATCTTAGTCCTCAAAGATGACAACGCATCTGAAGCTTTCTTTGTTTGAAGTCGCATGCAGGTGACCATGGACTGCAGTACCGTTTTCTGCCGCCAAATAACAGCAGTGCAAGCACTGCTGCTATTTGGGCGACAGAAAACGGTAAGAGAGTGGTATTCACACAGACGGTCTCATAGGTAGGAAAAAAAAAGAGTCATGCAACTACAATTTTTTTATAGAATAAGGGTGACAATCGAGCACACAGTCCACCTGATGGTAAGTGGTTGCTGTGGCCCATAGACATCTCCATCTATCTTCGTTTGCTAATTAAAATGCAGATGCGTTGTCAGCCGTGAGGACTAAGATAGAATGCCTCTTTTCCTGTAAAAAGGCTCTCCGGTTCTCTACACTCACCATACGAAAGACATCAGCATTAAGCTGCTATTTTACGCTGGTATTCAGTGAGAGCGTGGTCCTTCCCCGGTCGAGCCGACCCATTCGTGCTACAACTATACTATTAATATAGCTGCAGCATGGCTCTACCACGTATAAAAATTAACAATTACAATAGTCTTAACTTTTACTTACCTCACTTCTTCCAAAATAGCGAATTCTTCATGCATTGACTTCGGCTCGTCATCTCTATGGTTCCAATTCCTTAACTGTTCTTGTAATCTGTTATTTTCCTGCACCATAGACGCCAATTGTTCTTCTAACTCAGTGACTCGTCGATGTTCTTGTGCGAAAGCTGCTTTATTTTCTCTTAATTCATCGCTCAATCTGAGCAAATGTTCATCCTCCTTCGTAAGTTCTGGAAGAGGCGCGACAGTTTTTACAGGTGTACTGTTTACATTTGGCTTTTTAGCGTTCGGCGTAATTTGTTCAACTGGTTTTGTTTCCTTTTCTTTAGGTTTTTCTGCGCTCTCGGGTTTTCGTTCAGCCCTTCGTCTGACGATCTCTAATTGAGCGTTCAGGTCGTCCACAGTCTTTTGAAGCTCTTCACATCTCCCCTCCAGTGTCTCGATGTTTGAGCATAAACTGAAAAATGAATGTAATTCTATTCATAAATAAAATCAATAAAATTTAAAGAATTATTTAATATACTGTGTAATGACTGTAGTAGTCATATACAGGGCAAGGCATTTAACATATAGTGGGTTTTGGACATTGATAAAAACAATAATTAAAAATTTTGTACAACCGACTTCAATATAAATTATTAAGAATAATTCAAAAACTATTGGTCAGAGGTTGATCAAATTTATATGGGACCAAATGAGAAGCACTAGCTTTGAAATAAAAAAAGAATAATTGAAATCGGTGCACCCAGAAAAAAGTTATGAGGTAACACATAAAAAAAAGATAAAAAAAACAGTCGAATTGAGTACCGTCTCCTTTTTGAAGTCGGTAGAAAAGAGAAGATACGGTACTAAGCCGCAAACATTGGACCGTTTCAGATATTTTAAGAAGAGATAATAAAGGCGATACTTATCACCAAATAATGTGTATACAAGTTAGTGAATATATAATCGCAAGCAGACCTTGGAAGGCATTTTAAGAAAGTAGTCATTTTTATGATGGCACATTTGTATTTTTTACATACAAAGTACTCAATACTCAATACTCAATACTCAATACTCAATATTTATTTGCATTCCATAATGTACAAATTAATAAATTAAATTATCACAATATGGACCCTGCTGGGTATAGCAAATTAGAAAATTAGAACAGAGGAGGGCGCATAGATGTTTTATAATTCATTATTATTATTATATCATTTATTAGTCCATAATTATTCATATTAATCATTCATTTATTTAAAGTATTGCATTTGTCATTCAGGTATTCATATAAAGTATAATAACATTTATTGATTAGAAACACTTTTAATTGTCTTATAAAAATATTATCATTTGTTTCGTTTTTTAATGAGTTTGGTAGTTTATTATAGACAGTTATGGACATTGCGTAAGGGCCTGATGAGAAGAGCTTCATTTTAGAGGGTGGTAGCTATAATTTATTTTCATATCTAAAACTATAAGCCGTATTTTTAGTTTCTCTTTTTACATATAAATTAGGGTATTTTCGCACGAATTTGCATAATTCCAATATATAAATACAAGTTAAGGTAAGAAGTTTAAGTTTCTTAAAATGAGGACGACAACTTTCAGTATTCTTTATGTTAGACATAATGCGAATTAGCTTTTTCTGTAAGATGAAGATGGTGGGTGCATCTGTACTGTTGCCCCACAGGATAATACCATACCTTAGCCACGCCTGTGCATAGGCATTATAAGTAATTAACGCTGTCTGGAGGTCAGTTGTCTTTTTTATTTCACTTAGTGCATATACAAAGCTAGACAATTTGTTACGAATTTTCTGAATTTGAGATTTCCAGTTAATGTGGCTATCTAGAATTAAACCGAGTAGAGTGTGTTCATTTACTGACTCTATTTTTGTATTTTTGTAAGAAAAATTGATTTTAATCGGTGGTTTTTGATAAGGGTAAAAAGGCAAAATTTTTGTTTTTTTATAGTTAATTTCTAGGTTATGCTCTTTCATCCATTGGTCAGTAGTTTTAAATATTTTATATACTATATAGTATATCGTTTATATTATTTACGTTACGACATGGTGCTAAGATAGAGATATCATCCGCAAACATAACACATGGGTTAACCATAGTTTCACTGAGATTGTTGATATATATTAAAAATAATAAACATCCCAATACACTACCTTGGGGTATTGAAGCATTTATAATTATTTTATTTGATCTGACTTTCACTATATTATTATTATCAAAGTATTCTATTTCTACATATTGTTCTCTATCTTGCAAGTATGATTTGAACCATTCCAAAGTAATCCCACGAATACCTATACTATTTAATTTATTAATCAATATGTTATATTGCACCTTATCGTATGCTTTGCTCATATCTAATAGTATTCCTATTGCATATTCTTTATTGCTTAATATCTTTAAAATATCTTGAATATATTTATATACTGCTAGTACGGTGGACCGATTTTTACGAAAGCCGTTCTGACATTCACTAAAAATTTTATATTTCTCGCAGAAATTATACACACGTTCGAACATTGCTTTTTCGAAAACTTTTGAGATTGTGGGGAGTAATGCTATGGGGCGATAATTATCGATATTGGTTTTTGAATTTTTTTTGTGGATGGGTGTTATTAATGCCTTTTTTAACATGTCTGGGAAGATGCCCTCTGTGAGAGATTGGTTGATTAGAGAGTGGTAGAGTTAACTCATCTGCACAATGTTTGATTAAGGTTGGTGGTAATTCGTCTATCCCGAAACTCATTTTATTTTTTAAATTTTTTATTATTTTATATACTTCCCTTGGGGTCACTAGGCTGAGATATATAGAATTATTCAACACATTCTGTGTAGTTCGACCGTGTGCTAGCGGGTTACAGTTTTCGCCTATTGAAGCATAGAACCTATTAAAAGTATTTGCTATTAAAATCGGGTCTGAAGTTAAAGTATCGTTTATTTTTAGTTTAAGGTTATCGTTTTCTTTTATAATATTTTTATTTGTTCTTTCTTTTATTATATGCCACATTGTTTTGATTTTATTATTTGATCTTAAAATTTTGTTTTTGTATTCTATTTTCTTTGATGTAATAACAGCTTTTTTTAGTAATTTTCCATATTTTTTATAATGTTGGATAAGTATTTTATTATTTGATTTTAATGCCAATACCTTTAGCATTCTTTTGTGTTTACAAGATTTCTTCAACCCTACGGTTAACCAACTTTTTTTATATCTTGGTTTAATTATGATTTTCTTTTTGGGTATACTCTCATTCAGTATATTTATTAGTTTATCATTGAACTTATTGTAATTATAATTAATATTTTTATTAGGTTCCAAAATTTCTGACCAATTGCATGTCTCTAATTTGGATTTAAAGGTTTGCATATTATTGAAATTAAATTTTCTTTTTTCTGTATACCATATATTCTGTTTGTTTTGCTTATTTATTTCTATATCTATAATTGTGCTCATGTGGTCGGATAGTCCAAGTTCTTCTACACTAGTTTTTAGTTTTAGGTTGTAGAAATTTGTAAATATTAAGTCTAAGCATGTTGATATATTTTTAGTTACACGCGTAGGCTTTTTTATATGTTGATTGAAATTAAATTCTAACATTAGATTTAAAAATTGTTTAGTCTTTGTATTTTCTTTTAATATGTCAATATTGAAGTCACCTCCTATAATTATACTGTATTTAGAAAATTTTATATTTATATAGTTTAAGATATATTGTAACCGATTATAAAATGCGTCTTCCTCTCTTCTATTCCAATACACAGTAATAATTAAAATATTTTCTTCTGGTAGCTCCACTGCACACACTTCTAATACATATTCTATTGACATTTTGGCTATTTCTTCTCTTTCTACATATTTTAGAACATCTCTCAACAAGATCAAACTCCACCGCCAACGCGGGATTTTCTACAGAATGCAGCAGCTATCTTATAATTTGAAAATTGTATTATCTGTAATTTTTCAAGTGTTAACCAAGATTCTGTAATGCATATTACTTGAAACTGTGGAAACTCTATCAAAAATGCTTCTAGTATGTCTTGTTTATTGAAGATGCTCTGTATATTTTGAAATAATATTTTAAACCGTAATTTTTTTTCTGGTATGTTATGTTGTTTTATATCAGATCGTGATTTGCATATAGGTTTCTTTACAAAACTGTCTTTAATAGACGGACTTTGCATATTATTGTTTATGGCAGTACTAGCGAAAAAAATGATCATCATTAACAATCTCATCTGTCGAATCACAATGAATATTCTCTTTAGGTAGCCTAATGCCTTTTAATAGCTTCTGTATTTCTTTACTTTGGTAATTTTTGATTTTATATTTATAGTCAAGTCGTAATATTTCTTGAAGTATATTTTGGCACAGATGTCTCAAGTTATTATGTGGCAGGCCCAAATATGAATAACGTAAATCTATATAGTTAACATTCGGCAACTTCGCGCTGTATGATTTAAATATTCTATTTATATCTTCAGTATTATTTTGCCTATTACCCTCAGTTTCGCATAATATAATATTTGTGTTTTTAAGCTGGCTTAGATAGTAAAAAAGGTAGGAACTCATTTTTGTTAAGTCACTGTCATTTTTCCCTGTAAGGATCAGTACGTAATCCATATTACTGTAAGTTGAGCAATGGAGTTTAATGCCTTCTAGTATTTTATCCGTCGTAGCTCCTGGTTTTATTTCGCCATATATTTTGTATTTATTTCCAAGTAACTTTGATAATTGTGTGGTTATGCCCCGGCCTTGTTCATCTCCAAATATATATAATCTGTGTGCGTATGTGTATTGTTCTTCTGTCATAGTCTCATTTTTTAATTGACTGTATCTTGTCTGTTTTGAGTTTATCCTAATTTCGGAATTTTTACGCACAGATACTTTTTGTTTACTAGACGGTGTTTCGGTTAGTTTAACTGTGCTTTCATCATTAAGGCTATTCCTTTCTTCCTCTCTAAAGCTAAGCTGAGTGTTCAGTAATAAACCGCAACTCACAAAATTTATACCGAGGCACAATGATCTGCTACGATCGGAGCGCCGGTCACACCTAGTGGCAACATTGCGACGTAATATGCGTTGTAATAATCTGTGGAGTTAAAAAAAAGAGAAGAGGAGGGTAGGAGGCGAGACAAGCCATACACATTCTCTTTGTGTTCGTGATGTGAACATCTCTCCAAAAACTTTAAAAAGGGACTACTCCAGAGTGTACCGTGTACAATCTAATTGCTAGTGTATTCTACCGTGTAGAAGAAGCTACCAGGAGCTGTCAACGTTTGCTGATCTTGGGAGGCTGGCTAGTAAGACCGTGAGTAGTTTATTGCTGTTTTTGGTGTGATTTTGTGACTGCGGTAACTGAACGTTTCAGGGGATTTAGAATCTCAATACAGTCCACTATATCTAATAAAATAATCCCAATCCGCCACATTTCTGGCCTTCGAGCCGCAT